GCCCACTGACTTGCCCTGAGCCCCAGGCCCAGGGCTCTGCCCACTCGGTTGGCACAGACCCCACCAAGCTGGGAGGGTGTTCCCTCGAGCTGCTCCTTCCTCCCCCAGCAGACTCTAAAGGGGGATTGCGAAGGCTGCCAGAATTTGTTGGGAGTGGGAAAGAGGGGTCTCCCTCTGCGCTGGGGTTTTCTGATACCCCCAGCCCTGAGGGCAGGCCAGATCCCCCGAATACCGTATCTGAGATCTGGGAAAATTCTTAGAGCCTCTCCCGTCCCCTTCTTTCCCAGCTGAGATCCCATGGGTCCCCAGCCCTGGCTGGCTTGGGAGCTGGGACCTACAGCCCCTAGATTCCCACCCACCCCGCCCCTGCCCCCGCCATTCTCATGCCAGAAGGCAGAGAGGGCTGCTGGTGCCTTCTGGGGATGGACAGAGAGGCCCACCTCCAGCCAGACGAAGAGGACCTGAAAATGAGTACCCTGTGGTCAGGGCTCAGCCTAGTGCCACGACAGGGGGATATCCCAAAGGCCACCCAAGCCACCATCGGGCGCCCCGTCAGTGAAGCCCAACCTCAGGCCACCCCCACTGGCCACAGCACGGTCCCGTGGAGGCTGGCTTCTCTTCACGACTTCCTGCACAGCCTAGCCAACCACCCTCACACACCTGAGACTCTGGCCGTGGGGAAGGCCCTGGTCACCGCAGGCCTGTGGCTGACTCTGCCACCCATCCTCCTCGCTGTAGGCAGGGCCCAATGACAGGACTGCTCTGCCACCTGCCCTTAGCAACAGCTGGGGAGCAAGGCTTTAACCCCATTTACTCGATACTCCATAGCTCTTCCTCCCCGGGAAGATGTGCGCAAGGAAGCGTGAATTCAGCCCTGCGCCCGGTCGAGACAGCACTGATCTTATGACGGGGTAGGGCAGGGGGCTTGAACAGCCGATGAGAAGCGTCGTGTCTTACCAGTTAGGGCCCTGTTAGGTCAGCCTCCCCACCTCCCACCATCCCTGTCACCCTTGAGGTGCAGGAGTTAGGTGACATGCCCAAGGTCATGGTCAGGAAGCCGCCAAACAGTGTGGAGAGGGTCTGAACCCCGATCTCTGACTTGGGGTACCCTGTAGAAACTTGGCACCAAAATGTTGTAAATTCCCAGAACATCAGAATGCTGAGTTCAAATAGCACGTGGGGAACTAAGTCTGGAAAATCCAGCGTTTTGTTGTCTTCTGGGCCACGCGTGGTCCACCTCCATGAGTACAGAGAAATAGGAATGGAGTGGTCGCTCAAATTCCCAAAGAACAGAAGCAGCTCCCAGTTGCCATCCGGGAAGTTGGAAGGGTCCCTTGGGAGGCCAGCTAGCGTTCCTTCCTCTGCACGCTCCCCATCTGCACACCAGAGACTGGGACCCACAGCTGCTGACAGGTGTAGGAAGTTCCCAGGGTGGAGGGCTCACTCCCCACATCCCCTCTCAGGAGGCCAGACCCCCAGGATCTGCTGGAGACGCATGACAGTATGACCTACTGAAAACCAGTGACCAACCAGAGCCAAACTCCTGGGACGCACTCTCTTCAGGTCCCAGGGCCGTGTGGCCTCTTCTTCCCAAGACCTAGGGGGTTCATGGGCTCAGTCACTCGCCTGCCACCTACCTGTTGAACCCCTACCATAGACCACGTGCTCCTCTAGACTAAAGCTGAGGACGAGTCTGAGCCCAGCTCCTGCCCCCAAGCGTCTTGCTGTGGAGGGTGAGGCAGCTCTGGCAGGTAAGCAGAGGGGGCCTCAGACTCTGGGGGCCCAACCCAGTTCTGTGGGAGCAGGGCAGGCCTCTGAGGAGCAGACGTGGAAGCTGAGGCTGGAGTAGGAAGAGAGCTCCGGGCAGGGGGAGCAGCGTGGATCAAGACCTGGGGGCCAAGGGCAGCCAGCAGGTTTAAGACTCAGAAAAAAAGCTTCAGCAGAGCTGGAGGCTTGCTCTGAGGGGCAGGAGAGGGGAGCAGTGTCGGCTGCTCCTGCGTGGGGGCTCTGGGTGGGCGGCAGGCCCCTGCTCTGTTACCTGGATCACTGCTCGCTCTGCGGAGCCCCGGGACAGTGCCTGGCACACAGTAGGAGCTTGACACACACATGGCGAACAAGTGAGCATGTGCGTGAATGAATGGCCCACGTGGGTCCACGTGTCTACGCGTTGATATGGCAACAGAGATCAGACCCCCACCCCGTTTTGTTTTGTTTCTACGTTTATTTAAGTAATCTCTACCCCCAACGTGGGGCTCAAACTCACCTCCCTGAGATCAAGAGTCATGTGCTCCCCCAACTGAGCCCACCAGGCACCCCTGTTCTTATTTCTAAGTGACTAACACACGACATCAGTTTGGGAAGAAGTAGGTGATCTTGCTTTTTTCCTTCGGGATTTATGCCACGTACTTGGAGGGGGAAGGAAGAAAAAGAACACTATTAATTTGCAGGAGTGGGGAGAAACATGTACGACCTATCAGTGTGCGCACCCCAACACAAGCCTCCTTTGGCTCAGGGACATTAAAGCCCCCTCTTATCACCTTCTTGACGCAGGTGGGAAGCCAGGTGGAAGGAAAACGGCAGATCCTGAATACAGGGTAGCCACTACTTTTGAGAAAACAAGAAAAGAAAATTCCAACTAAGAAAAAAAGACTCCCTCCGCTCTCACAAAGCTATTACATTCTAGCAGGGGAGAGAGACGCGAAGCAAGGAAGCACATGATCAGACACTTAATAAGCTGTAAGGCCATGAATGGACAAGTGTGGGGAAGGGAAGAGTGTGATGGGGGGGTGCATCTGAGGGGCACGGCAGCTGAGATGTGGAGGGTTAAGTGGGAGCTGGAAGGGGTAAAGGTGGGGGACAGGAAGAGGTCTGGGCAATCCTAAGTGAGGGGGGACCGGGGGGGGGGCCTCGAAGAACGTAGAAGGGCACGCGGGTACCTGGGAGGGCAGGACAGCAGGGGGAGAGGCTGCAGGCTGAGTGAAGGGGGCCTGGGAGACATGCAACTCTGTCCAGGGGTCTCTGTCGGTGACCTTCATTCTTGGGGACCCTTAGGTTTGAAGAAGGCTATTCCCCCCAGATTGAAGTGGTCATCCGGAATAGCTCAGGAGAGGCAGCGTGGGCTGGACAGGAGCCCAGGGCCAAGTCCTCCTTAGCCTCCCTGAAACACTGGCGGGCAGACCAGCAGCAAAGATCAGGTTAAGTCTTCCCACCCCAGCCCACTGCCCCTGAAGGCCCCAAGGAAGCCACCGCAGAGACCACCACTGAGACAGCCGGCGGGGTGCACAGAACCCAGAAGTCAGTACATAGAAAGTGTCTCAGCGTCCCTGGGTGGGCTCAGTCAGTGAAGCGTCTGCCTTCGGCTCAGGTCATGATCCCAGGGTCCTGGGATAGAGCGCATCCCCCGCATAGGGCTCCCTGCTCCACGGGCTCCCTCTCCCTCTGTGCTCTCTCCCTCTGGTCTCTCAAATAATAAAATCTTTAAAAGATAGTAAAATAAAATTTTTTAGTAAAAAAAGACTTTTTGTGTCTCATTAATTCTAAGATGCAAATTCTTTCACATTTTAACATCTCTGAAATTAGCATGACCTCACAGCCTGAGCATCAGAGTTTAGACCCATTTTTCCTGGTGGCGGACAAAGTAAGGGTGAGTCTGACTATCAATGGTGTCACAGTGTCTGGAGACCATGGGTGTGGTTTCTCGCACACAGGAATGACTGGAAGTAAATGGGTGAAACCTACATTTTCAAAAGAATTGTGTTTCCAGAGAAACCACTTACCCTGAGGCTTTAATGGCCCAACACTGCAGTCAGGACTTTTATGGGAAACATCTGTCTTATTGAAACTGTTGCTTTTCTGGGTCAGCTGAACTTCTAAGCTGATCTTAGCTGTAAATTCATAATTTTTGTTTGGCCAAAGGTTTCCAGATTCTCTTTTCCCTCTGGCCAAAGAATTTCTAATAAAACCACTGACTCCCACAGGCCCTATGACTTCAAATTACATGTGAACAACATAAAAAAAAAAACAAACCAAAAAACCCAAACAGCCCAATGTAAAAATGAACAGAGGACTCGAACACACGTTTCTCTGAAGAAGACGTACCAATGGCCTACGAGCACAAGAAAAAATGTTCTCCATCAATCATCATCAGGGAAATACAAACCAAAAACCACGAGATACCAACTCACACCCCTTCGGATGGCTACCATCGAAAAAGCAGAAAATAAGCATTGGTGTGAATGTGGAGAGACTGGAACCCACAGAAGGGCCCTGAGAGCAGGGGGTTCATCAGCTACTGCAGCAGAACCTCGCCCACCCTGACTAACACGGGAGCCGCGCGCAGCAGGTGGACCAAGCTTCCCCGGCGTCACGGCTCTCGTGGAGGCCACAGGAGACCATAACCCTCGTTCCAGCCCTCTAAGTTGAGAAACCTCAGAAAAACCGTGTGCCTCCTCTGGCCTTCGGGCTCCCATTTATTCCATTTTTATCCTACAAAACCAGGAATTTCATACTGTTCAACCTATCAAGAGGAAGACAGACATTGGCTGGTAACCCAGGAGGGGAGATCTGGGCCCTCGGCCAACCTTGCGTTCAGCTCACCGCCTGGCTCTCGGCTTCCCCGTCTGTGCCTGCCAGGGCTCTGATCACCCGGGGCTCCCAGGGCTGGGCTAGATAGAGAAGTCCCAGAGACTTCAGGAGAAGCCCCCCCCAGTCAATGGACCCCAGCTTTAGGGACCAAGAAGAAGGGGAGAACTCACTGTCTGCTGTCCACAGCTTCAGCCTCATCCACGGGGGCCTGCCTGAGACCCTGAGCCCCAAGCCCCCACCTGGGAGGCCACCTGCCCAGAGTTGGGAGCTGCAGAGCCACACCCGGGGCCATGGAATCGCCCGGCCCAATGCAGGTTGTCAGACGTGTCTGCCCCTGGGTGAGGGGAAGAGGCTGCTGCCAGGCCCCCTCCCGGACCCTGAGGGCATCAGCAGGGCAGACCCAGCACACAAGGCGATCCGGAGCTGCACAGAGTACTGAGCTTTATTTACGGACATGTCACAGAATCCTCTTACCCTCTGCCCCCCAACCCTGGAGTCCCCACCTCTGTCCCCGGGAAGGAGAAAAGCCTGGGGCCATCCACCTGCCCACCTAGGAGGGTGGGGCCTAAGTCCACCTCCCTTGTCGTGGGTGCCTTAACAGGGGAGACAGGTTACAGGTGATGGCAGGGGCTCTGCCTTCCTCCAAGTGGCCAGTCCTCAGGGCTTCTGCCAGGGGGCACACGGCTGGGGTTCCAACTAGATTGTGGTGCAGGGTGGGACGCTTGTTGGCAGGGCCTGGATGGTGAATGGGGAGGTGTCAGAGGGGGCCACTTGAAAGGTCATCCCCAGTTCCCACCTCATCCCCTTCTGGATCAGAGAGTCAGGGTCACCTTCCTGGGTGGGGTGGGGAGCTGGCAGGGAGCAGAAGAGCCTGGAAGGGTGCTGAGGGCCAGGGGGCCGGGGCCCTGCACTCCCTGCCCCGATCTGCCCCCCGCCCCCAGGCCTGCTCCAAGGCATCTGTCCCTCCTGGGGCATCCTGGACCATACCAGGTGAGAAGGACTGGCAGCTAACAGCTTCCGATGCTGGGCCTCGGAGGAGACACAGGACCAGAGGTCCAGGCTCTTGGGTGCTGAGCTTTTCTCGGACTTCGGAGGGAGAATGTCCCAGCCCAGCAGGCAGTGCTGTGGACAGCGAAGGGTTAAGGCGCCTGGCCTGTTGGCAGGGCTCCCTTCTGATGGGGCGCACCCCAGGGAGGGGGCTGTGCCTCTCCCCTTGGACTGCCAGCATCCCCTAGCTGGGGCTGTGTCCCCCCAAACAGTCATGATGTCCCCTGGAGACAGGCTCCCCCAGGGCAGGGCCCGTGTCCACCCAGCGGGTTACCCCAGGCCTTCCTTTCCCTGCTGACCCAGGCCCTGGGCCCCTGGCCTGAGGCAGAAGGAGGGAAGCCTGTGGATACCGACAGAGCGCTTCCTGTGTGACGGACTCTGCCCCACGCCCCCGACAGGTACTGATCACTGAAGTGCCCCACTCACCCCACCAGGCTGAGGGCTGTTTGCTGTACCCATTTTACAGATGAGCACACCAACTTTCCTCAGCATCCCTTCTCCTCCCCCATAATCCCAGCTCCCCCAGCCCCCACAGGCTCCCCCCTACCCGGGAGACACAAAGAACGTTTCCATGGGAGACACTAGGAAACATAAGGACCTGGGTTCAAATCCCTGCTCTTCCACCTGCTGACCTGAGACCAGTGACCTCCCTCGGCCTCAGTCTCCTTATCTGTACAGTGGGATGGCAACAGGACCCACAGTCTTGGCTGCTGTGAGGGCTCCATGAGGTAATCCTCCTAAGAACTCCGCACACAGCACCCAAGAGCTCAACCAATGAGGCGCATGTGCACGACGCCGGCAGGCGGGCAGACACTAACCCTGGAAGCGCGGGGTGGGCGAGGAACAGGGGACGAGCACAGGGCCAGGTGACGGGAGCGGCCCAGCCTGAACTCCACAGACCTGAGTGCTCGCCCTCCTTGTGCCCAGCCTTGCTGTGTGGCCTTGCCCCAGTCTCTGGCCCTCTCTGGGCCTCAGGATCCACCTGGGAGTTGGGCTCCGAGCCCAACTCCACCCAGCCCCACACGGCTGCTCACCCGGGGCAGGGCCAGCGTGTCGGAGGCGTCGAAGCTCTTCCGCCGGTGGATGCGGTACTGGTGCGGGGGGTCCAGGACGGACAGCGGGATGCTCACCCTGGGGGGGGGGGGGGGGGGGGTGGGGGACAGAGGAGGCGCGCCCAGGCGCGCCTCCTGGCAGCTAGGGGGCCCACCCTGCCCTCCCGCAGGACTGGCAGGCCTCAGGCTCGGCTCCTCGCCTCAGCCGCTGCCGCCCCTCCGGGCTGCCCCGAGGGGTCCTACCTGCTCGGGCCACTCACCTGACCTGCGCTGTCTGCACCCGAGTCTCGGGACGCTTCTGGTCCCGAGGTGTCCGGCACAGGCGGCAAGGGGCGCCAGGATCGGAAGGCACCAGAAACAAGCGCCGGTTGACGCGGTAACAGTACAGGCCTGCGGGGCCGGGAGAAGCAGCAGCTCCTCTCAGCTGCACCCCCAGATCCCTGATCCCCCTGCTGCCCCCACCGCACGGGTCCGCCAACCCCACCTCCCCCATGGCCACACGCACAGGTGTACACACACAGAACACGAACCCGACGTGACGTACACACGTGTGTGCATCGTCTGCTGCGGATGGGAACCCAAAGCAAAGGCTCGGGTGCTCGTGCGACTGAGCCAGCGCCCCCACGCCCCTCCACGAGCACAGAGCAGCAGAAGTGGGGGTGCACAGGAAAGGGGGCGGCTGGGGAGGGGGGAGGGGGGTGCCACAGGCTTGGCCTCAGCTCCCCGCCACTCCCCAGCCCCCACCCAAGGCTTGCCCCACCCTGTCTGGACCCTAGGCTCCCCCTCCCTGAGTCTCCACCACCCCAGCTGCCTCCCTAGGCCCCCGAGACCTCGCTCGGCGAGGCTATGGGGCACCTGGCGAGAATTTCCACTCACATTCATGGTCTTCCTCCACAACACTGCTCTCCCATGGGCCTAGGAACTGGGGTCTGTGAGGGGACAGGGGTGAGCAGGCCGGGCAACGGGGTCCCTGAGCCGCTCTGCCCACCCGTTGGCCACCTCTGCTCACTCAGGGTCACTGTTGATACACTCCTCCTTGTTGGCTTCCCGGAAATCCTGTAGCTCTGAAAAGAAGGCCTCGGGCTTGCTGGTGATGGGTGAGCTGCTGTCCAGAGACCCTGGAGTGGGCGAAGCACCAGCAGCTGCTGTGTGGCCGCCGGCTGAGCCTTAGGGGGCACTCAGCACAGCACTCCAGTCTACCTGCTTTGCCCCCACTCTGCCTCGTACAGACCTGGAGGGCACGCGTCACTCGCTGTGACTGCTGGTCCTGTCTCCGTGTGTGTCTACCCTCACGCACAGCCTGTCGTCCGTGCAAAAAACATTAAAACAAAAAATACTTACAGAGCCCCTCCTAGGGGCCGCAGTTTGATGTGCCAGGGAGAGAGGAGGGAACTAGACAAAGCCCTGCCTTCATGAGCCTTACAAATATGGTGGCAAGGGGGGGGGGGGGGGTGCTGGGAGGCTCAGTGGGTGAAGCGTCTGCCTTCGGCTCAGGTCATGATCCCGGGGTCCTGGGATCGAGCCCCGCGTCGGGCTCCCTGCTCAGCGGGGAGTCTGCTTCTCCCTCTCCCTCTGCCCCTCCCCCTGCTTTTCCTCTCTTGCTCATGCTCTCTCTCAAATAAATAAAATCTTAAAATAAAATAAAATAAAATAAAAGAGAAAAATTTCATCAGGGTAGAAAATAACACGTTGCAGCTCTACCACTGAGCAGATGGGAGACGTCGTGAAGTGCCTCAGGGCCAGCAGCTCAGCCCTCTCCTCTGTCCACGGGGACAGGGGACGACAGCAGCACCGGCCCTAACAGATCATCGTGAAGGGCAGAGGACATTAAGAGGAGTAAAGCCAAGGGAAGCTCACAGAACACCTGTAACAGGTGCTCCCTGAAACCTATTCTCCCCACCCTTCCCAGTGTCCACAGACTGATGGGACTGAACGAGGAGGCAGGAGAGACTCGCAGGAAGCAAATCCTCCGGGAGCCCAGAGGGGATGAGGCAGGGCACACAAGTGCAGGGGCAGGCCTGAGATGGGGGCGCTCGTTCACCCTCGGGAAGGAGAGCGAGCACAGGGACAGGGCGGGCAGGAGGCAGGCGCCCCCACTTTCCAGAAACGGGAAGCAAGGCAGTGAGCTGACAGGCCGGGAAATGCCGGGGACAGGGCCTGTGTCCCCACCATCGCTGGGTCTCAGCAACCCCTGGAGCGCCTGCCTCTAGGAAGTAATTCAAACTCTCTGTGCCTCAGTTTCCCCCTTTATGAAACGGGGAGCCAAACGGCAGCAACCTCTTATGGCTGCTCACTCACTCATTCGACGAGTGTTGTGTGAGGGCCTACTATGCGTCACACACCTCTAAGCTCAGGCTCGGGAGATAGAGCAAGAAAATGGCTATGGCCCTGCTTGAATGAAGCTTACATTCTACTGGAGAACTCAGCTAAGAAACAAGGAAACAGGATGATTCTTGAGAACGAATGATACGAAGAACATACAAATGACTGATGCCACAGGCAGGGATGTGGGGGGCAGGGGCCCTATGACATTATGCTCACAGAAGGCCTAGCCCCTGAGCTGGGCCCTCAATGATAAAAAGCACCCAGAGGGTGTGAACCTGAGAAGTGCATTCCAGGCAGCACGGACAGCAAGTGCAAAAGCCCTGAGGCTGCCATGAGCGTGGCACGGTCAAGGACCAGCAAGGAGGCCCATGAGGCTGGAGCAAAGAGCCAGAGGCTGGTAGTGAGAGGTCACGTCACAGAGCTACCTGGGGCCAGGTCTTACCTCGTAAGTCTAGATAAGGATTTTGTATTTTATTCTAAGTGCTAAGTACTCTGATTCCCAGGTTTAAAAAATCCATTCTGGCTGCCAATCAAAAATGCATAGTAATGGGGTAGACGAAGCCAGAGGGAGACCAGCCAGGCCACTGAGGTTGCTGAGGGTGGGGGGTGAGGAGGATAGGCAGTACAATGTAAAGAGACGATATGCACACGCAGTTTTGCAGGGGCCTGGCACCAATACATGCTAAAGAATATGGCGGCTCTGGAGCGCCTGGGTGGCTCAGTCGGTTGGGCGTCTGTGTTCGGCTCAGGTCATGATCCCAGGGTCCTGGGATGGAGCCCCATGTCCAGCTCCCTGCTCAGTGGAGAATCTGTTTCTCCTCCCTCTGCCCCTCCCTCCCCTCGAGCTCGCTCGCTCTCTCTAATGAAAAAAAAAAAAAAAAAAAAAAAGAATATGGCAGCTCTGACTCATTCATTCAGCACCGGTAGGGCTCAGGCAGGCATGCGCGGAGGCGGGCCATACCTGCAATCCAATCGTAGCCCAAGTATGGCCGGAGGTGCCCGCTCCTGTCCGGCAATGCAGACTCCTCACTGAGGGTCACTCTTGACTGAGGAGGGGGACAGAGAGGGGCAAGGGCTAGGCATGCAGGCCCAGCCCGGAGGAGGCCCCACCTTGCGGGAAGGAAAGGGGCCATGTCTTAACTTATACCCTGACATGAGCCCCAGGACTCCGCCGGGAGCTTGGGAGTTGGAAGAGTTTGGCCCCCGATCCCCCTCTATGTGTAACTTTGAACAAGCGTGGCCTCTGAGCCTTGGTCTTCCCATCTGTATAATGGGCTCATCACCTTCTTCCCAAAATGCCGAGAAACTAACAACCACCACTTTTTAAGCACTTCAGCTGAGCTGGGCATGACTCAAGGTATCTCCAGGAAGCCTCCCACCCTGAAGGGAGCCTGCCGATGAGTGCATTTGTGAGACAGGGAGACTGAAGTTCAAGGAAGTTCTATTCTCCCATGTTACCTTGGACAGCCACTTTTGTTGATCCAGGGTGGAGCTCTGGGCCTGGACCTCCTGAGGCCCTGGACTGCCCAGCTCTGCTGAAAGCGCTGGGTCATTTGGGTCTGAGATGGCCAGCAAGGGTGCCGAGTAGGGCCTCAGTGAGCCCAGGGACGCCTGGTGTCGGTACTTGGCAGAAGGGAGAGAGATCACTCTAGAGCTGGTCCCACCAGGCCCGGACATATCACAGGGATCGCCCTGGTGCGCAGGGTGTAGGCCGGAGGCTCTGGGGGCCATTAACAACGTCTCCTGGGACGATGGTGTCCGGGAGTCATGGCTGCTGCTGGAGTCCAGGGCTGACTGGAAGAGAGAGGCCAGGTCACCCAGGGAGTGGCCCAGCTCCCCACCCAGCTGGCCTGCACCAGGCACAAAGGCCTGGTTCCTCAATCCTCAGCCCTGCTCCGGCCTCTGCAATGTCCCAGGCCAGTCAGTCCCTTCTTTGCTGGCCCTCAGTTTTCTCCAAACTGGGCATGTTGCCCAGGAGGCCTGGGACCTGCCTGGTTAGGGAGCCCCTTCACGCCCCCCTTGCAAGTTCTCAAGGTGGGTGCTCACCTTTGAGGCTGCTTTGGCCACCGACCGCCGAACGGCATCCTGCCCGACCCGCAGCTGCCTCAGGAGTGCCGAGTTGAGCTGCCGGAGATGCACCAAGTCCTTGGTCTCCACCATCCCAGGCATATGGCGCGGCTTCCTCCTGGGCTGCGGTGTACCCTCGGGCTGGGTTCCAGTCCCAGCTCTTCTACCTAAAGCGAAGACAGCATGACACCAGCCAAGGAGGCTGCCCCGTGGAGCCAGAGGCCTGGGTTTGAATCCCCACTCTACTACTCCCTAACTGTGCGGTCTCAAGCAAGTTATTTAATCGCTCTGTGCCTCAGTCTCCTCATCTGCCAAAGAGAAATGATAACAGACCTCCTCAAATTACTGTAGGGAAAAACGAGGCAATGCATGTTAAGCCTTAGTATGGCGCCTGGTATACAGTGAGCACTCAACAAATGTCTATTATTAAACTGGCCAGAGTGTGTTTACTTACCTGCCCAAAAGGGAACAATCCCCCTTTAACAATCTTAACTATGAAAGTAGTTTAATTTGTAGAAAACAACTAGAGCAAGTCTACAAATGTAAAGTATTATAAATTGTGAATCCAGCACAGACCAGGCTTCTGAAGGGAGGCTTCCCTCTGTCCTGTCCACCCTCCCATCTTCCCTTTCTTTTTACAAATCAGGAAACCAAAGCTCAGAGGAGTTAACCAACTTGCCCCACGTTCCACCGCTAGTAAGTGACAAAGCCAGGATTTTAAGCCGGAATCTGGCTCCAGGACCTCTTGCAGCAGAGAGGTGCCTGGGACGCCTTCTCCTTCCTCCTCCTCTCTCAGCCTTTTGCCCCCAGGGACCCAGGCTCAAAGACACACAGATGCCTCCAGAAAGGATTTCTGCAGCCTGGGGAAGGGGCTTCCTAATCGCCTCTGGGATCCAGGCCCAGGCTCCACCCAGAAACTCAGTCTCCCATCACTGTGCACCGGGCGGGTTTTAACGCCGGGTCAGGCCAGACCCTCCTCTCAGAATGGCGGCCCGGCCCCCCGCCCGCCTCACCCACACTGGTCACCTGTGGACCGCCCACACCAGGGGCCGAGTCCTTCCTCCCCACGCCAGCCCCGCCGCTCCCGCACTCACCGCCTGGAAGCCTGGAAGCCTGGAAGCCCGGAGGCCCGCCGCCCCAGGGAGGGTCTCGCAGCCCGGAGTTCCGCCCGGCCGCCCTTTGCTTCGCCGGCTGTGGGCGGGGCCCGACGCGGCCGCCCTGATTGGTCAGATTGCGGACGGAGCCGAACGCTCCTGCGAACGTTACTCCGCGTTCAGAAGCGGCAGTTTCAACATTGGGGCGGGCCTAACAGCGGGACTCAGGAGCTGATTGGTCAACTCCCGAGACCGCGTACTGGTCGCCGATTACAGGAATGGGGGCGTGCCCCCGGAGGGCGAGCTCCGATTGGTCAGGACGGGGCCGCGGGCCACGCCGGGTTAGGCGGCGGCAGTTTCAGTCTGGACCTAAAGCTGCTCCTCAGCAGCGGAATTCAGCTGTGGGAGGCCGGGCGGGAGTGGGGGAGTCGGCGGCTGGAGACTCATTCTTTAATACTTTCTTTCCTGTATCATGTCGTGCCTACTTTGTACCAAGAAGCACAGTGCTAGGCACTGGGAGGCAGAGAAGGAAGAGGGGTCCCTGCCTGAAGGAGAGGCCGTGGGTTAAGCACGAACACAGATACCTGTAATCCAATTTGTATGCGGAGCATGCCAGCTCCATTTTACAGAGAAAAACCAAAAACGAGGTTGTACAAGATGAAGTGACGTGACCAGAACATTTTAAAACCAATCAGTGTAATTCAGCAAATTAACAGGAAGAAAAGAAAGGAGAGAGGAGTGAGGGAGGATGGAAGGAAGGGAAAAAAGGAGAGAGAAAGGGAGAGCAAGAGGGCTCATTTTGGGGTGCTGGACACGCGCTAAAATTGGATTGTGGTGGAGGATGCACAACTTTGTAAACTTGCTAAAATGATTTAATTGTACACTTTGAGTGAATTTTATGGTGTGTAAATTACACCTCAATAAAGTGTGGGTTTGTTTTTTTTTTTTATAAGTTCATACCAACTATACAAGCCAGTCATTTTACTCCTAGGCATTTATCCAAGGGGGGAAAATTGTCCATACAGAGATTTGCATATGAATGTTCATGGCAGTTGTAGCCAAACATAGGTCAACAGATAAATGGATAAACAAATCGTGGTATGGCCATACAATGGGTACTACTCGGCAATAAAAAAGAATAAACTATTGATATGCACAATATGGATACATCTCAAGATAATTATGTTGCATGGAAAAGAAAGAGTATGTACTGTATCTTCCATTTGTATAAAACTTTAGAAAATGTAAACAGATCTGTAGTGATAGATCAGTGGTTGCTAGGAAACGGGGTGGAAGAAGGCATGATAACGGGGCATGAGGGAACCTTGGGGGTGATGCCTATGTCCACTGTCTTGGTTGTGGTGATGGTCTCATGGTGCATACATATGTCTAAACCTAACGTACACTTTAAACATGCAGTTTATTGTATATAAATTATATCTCAGTAAGGGACGCCTGCCTGGCTGGCTCAGTCAGTAGAGCATGTGACTCTTGATCTCGCGGTTATGAGTTCAAGTCCTGTATTGGTCATAGAGCTTACTTTAAAATAAATGAACAATTGGGCGCCTGGGTGGCTCAGTTGGTTAAGCGACTGCCTTCGGCTCAGGTCATGATCCTGGAGTCCTGGGATCGAGTCCCGCATCGGGCTCCCGGCTCAGCAGGGAGTCTGCTTCTCCCTCTGACCCTCTTCCCATTTGTGCTATCTCTCACTCTCTCTCTCTCAAATAAATAAATAAAATCTTAAAAAAATAAATAAAATAAAATAAATAAATAAAATCTCGATAAAGCGGTTTAAAAATGTGAATTGGTGGGGCGCCTGGGTGGCTCAGTCGTTAAGCATCTGCCTTCAGCTCAGGTCATGATCCTCAGGGTCCTGGGATCGAGTCCCACATCGGGCTCCCTGCTCTGCGGGAAGCCTGCTTCTCCCTCTCCCACTCCCCCTGCTTGTGTTCCCTCTCTCGCTGTCTCTCTGTCAAAAAATAAATAAAATCTTAAAAAATAAATAAATAAAAATAAAAATGTGAATTGGTTAAACGTCTGCCTTTGGTCATGATCCCAAAGTCCTGGGATCAAGCCCCACATCGGGCTCCCCGCTCCTCGGGGAGCCTCCTTCTTCCTCTCCCTGTGCCCGCCGTTCCCCCAGCTTGTGCTTGCTCACGCGTGCTGGGTCAAATCAATCAATCAGTCAATCAATCTTTTTAAAAAAATGATGTGAAGCGTGTAAAAGAAACAAATAAGAACTTGGCCTCATTGGGCACAGTGTGTTTGCCCTCGCTGGAATGGACAGCTGTCACTCCCGTGCCCCCACCCCCTCTCAGGAGTGGCCCTGAGGACAAAGACGAAGGCCAATCCTCCCAGTGGACACAGCTGTGCACTGCACACTTGGTCACCCATGCATAAAGAGGGATGAATGGCCTGAGGGACAGACACACACAAAGCCCTGGGTGGTGGCAGGTGATTTGGCTGGTGGCCAGGAGCTTAGGGGGTTAAAGTTTGGAAGATGGGGTACCTGGAGAACTGGGGAGGGGTTAAGAAGGTGAGCCAGTGAGCACCAGGACGGGCACAACAGACGAAATCTGTGTCTCACGTTTCGAATCCACCCATCAGAGAACGTCCAAGGCAGGGGAGATGGTCAACAAACATCTGGGAATGGGTGACGTGCTGGTAGACGTCAGCCGGCCTCTCTCTGCAGCCACCCTAGTGCGGGTACACAGGGCCCGAGGACAGACAGAGCAGTCATGACGACAGGGGTGAAGTGGCCCGGGCGGGCTCCTCTCCCAAAGGCTCGGGGAGGTCCTGAATGCCTGGTCTGCCGAAGCAGGACCAAAGCTGAGCCCTCCATACGCTATCTCCAAGGGACCAGCCAGCCATCAGTAGCAGGTGGATTGCATCCGTCCTCTGTCCACCCGGGAGGGGGGGCAATTTGTATTTACTGAGATTAATGCCAATCCACATATGGTCCCCCCTGACCACCCTGCTGGGGGGGGGGGCTCACCCCCACCACCATCTGAGGGGCTTTAGATTCCCTGACGTAGTGACATGGTATACACACGTCGCCTCACACCAAGGGACCTGTTTTTTGGCAAAATGTGGAACAATGGGCATCTGACCAAAGGATCCACCGATCTTTCCCGGAACCTCAACACCCGAATGGCATAGCTTGGAAGGACCAAGCTCAGGGACCATACTTCACAGCTCTGCTCTCCAAGCAGCTGAGAAAGGCCACCGTGTCCCCTGTGGCTAGAATACTGGGGGACAGGAAGCAGAGGGTGTAAGTAGAGGGCCCCTCCCTCCATCACTCCAGTGACCCACTTCTGGAGTTCGTATTTCCCGTGCCTGGGGGCAGAAAGCTTCTGCTGAGGGACACAATAGGGTCCCATCGAACTTGAAGTTGTGGCCATCCCCCGGTGGCTGGGCCTGTCCTGCTGGCGGACCAGCGGGCAGAGTCGCTGTGCTGCTGGGGGTCAAGATTCTGGTCCCCGTGAGGAGCCAGGGCTGAGGCTGCGCAGTGGGACAGGGGAGTATCGGGAACCCCCTCGGTGTCTGTCTCTTGGTGTCTCCACACCCACCGGTAACAGCAAGTGGCAGTCATGGCAATCATGGCCCAAGCAGGACCAGACAGCCAAGGGCTAGGGTCCCCTGGGATGAAGTCTGGGTCACCCCACCAGGAAGCAGAGCAGCTGAGGCACAGACGAGGACAAGGGCAATCTAGAATGGGCTGGACGAGGGACCAGCTATACCAGCAGGGCCTGTAGCTTGCGCCACTAGTCCCCGGAGGCAGAGACTGTGCTGGCTACGGCCTTGTAGGGCTCTGTTGGGTCAGACTTAGACCTCCCCTCCCAGGCAAGAAGGGAGGGAAGGCAAGCGTAGCTCTGAGTGATTTGAGGGGTAGACTTTTCTACGTGAACCCTCTGCCCCCCTTCAGACCCTCCTGGCCTCCCCTGCCTGTTGCTTCAGCCCCGCCTGGGCTGGGTGGTTTGTGGTGAACACAACCTATCCACACCACAGCCCCAGCCCACGCCTGTGCTCCCCACCTCCACCACCCACCATGGACCCCAGTTTGGTGCCCCAGCATTCATATATGCAACCCAGAAATACAGAGTAAGTGCCCCAAGAGGCAAATCTTCAACCAGTGGGAAGAAAGAAGTAGTGGGTAAATTCTGCCCCCCTCCGTCCCCACCAAGAAAAGGCACGGAATTCGCCTGCATGGCTCGTCACGGTCAGCGCCTGTTACTCTGCAGGCACACCTCACGGCAGCCAGCTCTATAACGCACCCTTCTGCGAGCTGTCCTTCCTTCCCACTTCTCTCCTCCTCCCTCCCTCCCTGCTCCTCTCTGGGGGTGTTCTGCAGAAATAAAATGAGGGTGCATGAGCCCTCTGCCTGAGGCTCTGCTTTCTGGGGAACCCTGGCCAAGGCACCACCCATGTGCCGCCTCCCAAATGTGTACCTCCAGGCCGGACTCCACGGAGCTCCGAGCTCTTGTATCCAACTACAGAAGAGGGGCCTTACATTTAACATGCCCAAAAGGGACTCCTGATTGCCCCCAAACGTGCTCCACTGAAGCTCTCCCCGTCCCAGCATGTGCCCAGGACCCTGAGTCATCCATGACTCATCCAGTCTGTCAGCACAGCATATCATTTATTTTTTTTTAAAAGATTTATCTATTTATGAGAAAGAGAGAAACCCAAGCAGACTCCGCCCAACGTGGGGCTTGATCCCACAACACTGAGACCCACGACCTGAGCCGAAACCAAGAACCAGATGTTCAACCAAGTCACCCAGGCACCCCCCATTTCGATCTTTAAAAGGACTTCAGAACCTGAGCGCTTTCCACCACCTCCACCACAGCCGCCTGGCCCCAGGCACCACCCTCCCCTCTTTGGAACCCTGGTCATCTTCTGCCGGGTCCCCCTGCTTCCATCCTTACTCTGTTGTCTACACAACAGCCTGAGACCCCATTAAGATGGAAGTGAGCTTATGGGACTCCTCTGCTCAAAGCTCCCCAATTGCATCTGCCTCACTCAGAGTAAAGCCAAAGTCCTTACCTGTGAGATCCCAATCTGCCTCCAGTTCCTTTTCATACCTTATCTCCTGCTCCTCTCCCCCTCCCTCACTCCAGTCACACTAGTCTTATTTTGCTCCTTAAGGATATTGGGCATGCTCCTACCTCAGGGCCTTCGCACCTGCTGGTCCCTCCATCTAAAATGCACTGCCCCAGATATCCCCACGGTTTCATTCCCCACCGTCTTCCTTCAAATGTTGTCTTCTCAGAAGGCCTACCCCAAGCACACTGTTGTTACACCCTCCCCAAACTTTCCCTGCCTCATTTCCCCCCCTAGTCCTTATCTGCTGATATACAATGTCTTTTACTGAACTGGTTTTGCCTGTAGTCCGCCTCCCTCCACTAGCATACCAGCTCTAAAAGGACAGAGCTTTTTATCCACCTTACTCACTGCTGTATCTCTAATGCTTAGCACCATGCTCATTAGCACACAGTAGGCACTCAAATACTTCGATGAATTCATGAACTTCCTCATTTGCACAGAGGCAAATAGATCACCGAATTTCCGAGATTTGGGTTCTTGCATATCAATCTCTGACGTGTGCTAAGCTCTCGTTAAAAGCTGGCTGTTCTAATCTCAAGCCTAAGAGTCTGACTCAGAGCCAGAAATCCCTGTCCTGAAGGACAAGAGTGAATTTAGCTGAAGAGGGCCCAACCTTGGAAGAGGGGTACATTCTGGCCACATGCTTTGTGATTAAATAAGGACACTGTTACTGGAAAACCAAAAATCCCCCCTCTTGGACTCCCCAGAACTCTCAGTGGGTGGATGAGGTAGGCTGAGCAACCACCGGGATCTGGTCTTGACTGGGGATAGAGAACTAGGCAGTGTTGAGTATGGAACAGGGTACAGAACACCTTTTTCCAAATACAGGCCATCATCTAGTAGCTGGTGAATGACTTAGTGGGTTGCGAACAGCAGCGGAAGAGAGAATACCTGTGTTATCACAGGAAAAGGGAACTGACCAACTTCAAATTTTTCGTTGTACCTACACATACACACGTGTGCTGGTTCATCGTGTTATTTCTAATTGTGGGTAAAAGGGAAAGGGAAAGGGAAAGGGAAAGGGAAAGGGAAAGGAAAGGAACGGAAAGGAAAGGAAAGGAAAGGAAGAAAAGTAAGTTTGAAAGCCACTGGGCTTTGGGAAATTAAGACTTAGGCTCCAATCCAGGACCCATCAGCCCTACAGTGCTGAGATTGGAACATCTGAAAGCCCCTAGTCCCATGACTACTCTTAGGAGGTTTCCAGTAGCAATTTTGTTCTGGCCCCCAACCCTGGAGGGCTGATAAGATGTGAACTGTGTTATCAGGACAGGATTCATTAATTCAAGTATCAATACTGACTTCTGATTCTGTGCCAGGCACCGGACTAGATGCTTGGCACGTTATCAATAAACAAAACAAACAAAAATCTCAGGCCTTACAGAGA